GACGTTTCGGGTCTAGACCCTTCTTCAGAAACCTGAAACGTCAGCTTTCCTGCTCCTCTGATGCTGCTTGGCCTGCTGTGTTCATCCAGCTCTACACCTTGTTATCTCAGATTCTCCAGCATCAGCAGTTCCTACTATCTCTGATTCATTTCTTTGTTGCTTATCCAGCTGGGAATGGGATTGGCCATTAATCATTTACTACAAACTGAAGAAAAAGGACTTGCATTTATATAGCACCTTTCATGATCACTGGGTGTGTCAAAACACTTTACGCCAATCAAGTCACTGTTGTAATGTAGGAAACACAGTGGCCAATCTGCACAGAGCGAAGTCCCACAAGTAACAATTTGATCTTGACCAGACAACATTTTTTTGTGTGATATTGACCGAGGAACAGATATTGACTGGCACCCTGTTCACTTTTAAAAACAGCACCACATGATTTTGACTGTGTGCAGTAAGATTGCAGATAGGGTTTGAGTTTAACATCTCATCTGAAGACAGTGCCTGTGAGAAAGCAGCATTCCCTCAGCACTGCACCAGAGTATCCACTTTTAACGAGGGGGCCAAAGCTGAAACATGTTGTGGGATTGAGGTTACTGAACTGTTAATCCCTACCTGACTCTAATAGTAATTGTGTTGTGGTGATTGCAACAAAGTGGGTGCAACAGGGTAGTTGTGGTTTGGATGTTTGCCCTGATGGGGAGTCACGAACCCAGGACATAATCTCAAGGCAAGGAGTAGACCTTTGAGGACTGAGATGAGGAGGAATTTCTTCACTCAGAAGGAGGTGATCCTGTGAAACTCTCTACCCCAGAAGTCAGTCGATGTTCAACCTTTGACCAGATTCAAGATGGAAGTCAGTGGGTTTTCTGGTGACACTCACGGATATGGAGATGGTGCAGGGAAAATGGCATTGAGGAGATGATCAGCCATGACTGAGAATGGTAGAGGAGGCTCAATGGTCTTCTCCTGTTCCTTTACAAACTTAGTAATCTCTATCATTCACCATAATTCTGGCCATCAGTATGCCCCACTTTGCTATTTAACTTGTGACTGTGGATTTGTATAAGTTTCTCAGCAGGTGTGGACAATGGGTTTATGCAGTGTAACTGTTGAAGCTCAGCCTTGGCCTACCTTACCCCTCCCACAGTGTAGCCTGCAGCTACAGTTTGAACTATGTTCACGTTATAGAGTCAGAGTCATACAGCATGAAAACAGACCTTTCGGTCCAACCAGACCATGCTGATCATGTTCCCAAACTAAACTGGTCCTACTTGCCTGCATTTGGTCCAAACCTTTCCTATTCATGTACTTATCCAAATGTCTTTTAAACTTTGTAACTGTACCCACACCCACCACATACTGTGGACGTTCATTCCATACATGAACCACCCTCATGTTTGTCCCTCATGTCTTTCTTAAATCTTGTCTCCTCTCATCTTAAAAATTTTCCCCCAATCTTGAAATTCCCCACCCGAGGGAAAAGACACATAACATTCACCTCATCTATGCCCCTCATGATTTTATAAACCTCTATAAGGTCACCCCTCAACCTCCTACACTCCAGTGAAAAATGTCCCAGCCTATCCAGCCTCTCCTTATAACTCAAACCCTCCATTCCCGGCAACATCCTGGTAAATCTTTTATGAATCCTCTCCAATTTAATAATATCCCTAATAAAGTTCTCGCTGCCAGTGTCCTGTCTCTGTGAGACTGTGTGTACAGGTTTTGGCCTCGTTATTTACAACTATCGTTGCTTTTGCCAGTCGAAAATTCATGCAGCGAGGAGTCTGAGTGAAATCGCCATCGATCTCACGGAAACTGGGACTCTGAAGATGTCCAAGCTCGCCAACATGGGAAGCAAAGGCAAAATCATCAGTGGGAGCAGTGGAAGTCTCCTGTCGTCAGGTAAGACCCAGATTCCGATGAGAAATTGTTCCCCCAAGTCAACGGAGAAACAGAATGAACGTTTCAGATCATTGAACTTTGGTGAGATTTGGGAAAATGTTAGAGGAATATCTACAGAACTGGTTGCTGTACTTACAGAAAGACCCAGGGAACCCACGACTGGTGACACAGAACTTCCGAGGTAGGCAGTCATGTTACAAAAACAAAATTGCTGGAAAAGCTCAGCAGGTCTGGCAGCATCTGTGAAGGAGAAAACAGAGTTAACGTTTCGGGTCCAGTGACCCTTCCTCGTCACCGGACCCAAAACGTTAACTCTGTTTTCTCCTT